ATCACGCCAGTCCTGCGGTACGTAACCCTCCGACCAGACAGATTGAAGCAGGTCCAGAAGGAGTGGGTGGAGGACGGGCACACCAGCCTTCAACAGTTCAGGCACGATCTGCGACATGCCACCAGCCTTGCCGTTCTTCAGATGTCTCAGGGCATGGGTCAACTCCTCTCCCGACGGTGGCTGCGTTAGCGAGTGCATGATCTCCCGCTGGGGGATTTGCTGGAATACCTCTGCATCGTAAGTACTGCAGACATTCAAAACACCTGAGAAGTGCCCGTGCCATGTGTCCCTCTGCTCTTGCACAGATCCACAGACGTCTCCCCGAGTGTCGCGGATAGCCTGTACAGATATTGGCTTTAGCCCACCAAAACAGCGCTGCATATCTCGGATGGCAGACCACACATATTTGCCGCTGAAACGTCCCCGCTGCACCACCGCCGCTTTTTCCATTAACCAGGTGGTCTTTGCCCGCCGTATACCAGCCCGAGCCTGGCCACGAGCCTCCTTGAAAGCCCTGTGATCATTCTGATGGCCAGTTCTGAGCCATAGGTCGTATAGCCGATTACGGGTTGCTAGTAGGGGCTCCAGTGTCGGGGCACTATCACGAAACCAGTCCGGTACACGCCGCTTGTCTCGGCCAACCACCTCCCCAGCCACATCGACGACAGCCGACTTCACAGCACTCCACTTACAGTCCACGGATGAGGCACTATCATATGTATCAGCCAGCCGAGACTCAAGACCAGCACAGTACCCAGCACGCAATGCAGACACACCCTCAGCCTCCTCCTCACTCATAAATGGCAACCGGTTAAACCGATGAACAGCAAATCTCCGAGGCCTGGAATGCGAGTCACGGTGATAGCGCTGCTGTGCAATATCAAGTAATCGATACTTCATGCGGATCAAGCGGTGGTCAGTGCTACACTCTGCCGTACGCATCACTTGACAATCCATGCAACGTTTACGATATCGCTGCCGAACAATTACGTAGTCTATGCAGTGCCATCTCTGTGAACCAGGGTGTTGCCAGGTGTACATGTGGATGCGCTTCTTGGGAAACAGTGTGTTACAGACAGTCAGCTGTTGACAGGCCAAGAAAGCAAGAAGGCTATGGCCAACGTCATTCACTTCACCCACACCATGCGATCCATGTACTCCCTGCCACATCTCCATTTGCTGTGGACCAGTACCTACACGTGCATTGAAGTCACCCAGGACAATGACATCATCCAGAAGATTGATAGCGTCCAGTGCAGCTTCAAGCTGAGCAAAGAACTCGTCCTTGTCGATTTGAGCCGACCTGAATGTTGGAGCGTAACAGGACATCACCGTCATCCAAGAAGGAGAGTTGTCATTGCCGAAATTTAGCCGGGCTGTGACAATGCGTGATGAGATAGCTTTCCACTGGCAACCTCCACACTCGAACGCTTGTTTAGCCCTACGTCGTAGGACCAGTGCAACTCCCTCGGAGCGACGAAAATTTTCGGCAGGCACAGGGCGACCAGACGCGAGCACGGTGGCATCACCAACACTAAAGGAATCCCCGCCGAACCACTTCGTTTCCTGCAGTCCAGCCATCTCTATATCAACTCTGGACAGCTCACGGATCACCAAGTCAATCTTCTTGTCCTCCACGACAGATTCGAAATTTGAATTTTGAAAACGTCTTCTTCTTGCCGTCTCGACGGGTCCGTCATTGTTCACCAAGGTTCGAACGTTCCAAGACCCAAAGGCCAATGTCCGCAGCCTGTTTCTCCTCTTCCTCTCTGACAGCACTCTCTGAGCTTTACAGTTGGAAACCATTCGGGGGTCAGCTACACCGCCGCGAATGGTGAGACGAGGACGACAACAGTCGTGACGGAAAAAACACCGCCCTGGCGACCGCGTCGTGAAACCCTCGCCTCAGAAATTTCAGGAACACGCCAGGGGCGACTCTGGTAGGTCCAGAGCCACCCCGTGGCCAAGTGGGAGAAGGCTGAACTCGAAAAGGTCAGAGCAAAAAAAGTACAACCGTCCCCTTCAAGCACAAAGGGACACACACACACACACACACATGTGGCACACACCATGTACTGTCGCAAGAGAAGCACGCAAATCTTCAAATGCACTGGATGTGCACCCACATATTTCCTCTTATAGCAACGATAGCGGACAAGATCTGAATGAGACAGATCAAGACCAGCGCCAGATAACACGCACCCACACCCACCCACCCACACCCACACATGTAGCACAAGCACAACGAATGAGGTCGGTTTCTTTGGTCCCAACTAAGTAGCAACTTCGGGATTTATATTCGTAATGTGCTGGTACCTGCTGGGGGGGGGGGGGGGGTCATCCTTTCCGGTTGCTCTCACCTCTCCGCTGGCGATGGAATTCGTCTCATGGCTGTACGACAGAACTGCCTCCACAGGGTTGGAGCATTGGCGCTCCTCAAGTTCAGAGATGAGCTCCTGGTGGTGATGCATCAACAAACGCAAACACCCACAACAGATGCAATAGTTCAGATCGCTCCTCAGGTTTTTTGTTTTGTTTGTTTTTGTTTTTGATTATTTTAGTTCATTGCCTGAACAGTACAATGTACAAGTTGAAAGGGGGTCGAACAGCATTGCCGTAGTTTCCGGAGTATAAGCCACACTTTAAAAACACTCGTTATTCCCCAAAAATGTCAACGCGGCTCATACTACGATGATCAAATGAATGGTGATTATACAGGGTAGAGGTCTGTATATCGTGACAACAAATCTGGGTGTGACTTTTATACTCCGGAAATACGGCATATGATCACATCAATAGGAGCATTGATATGCTCTGTATGGTGTGGCATCACGAGCAGTGGTTTGCCAGTTGCCACTTGGATCCTAAGCGTACACAATGACATTATCCACATCGGCATGCATATAACATATGAAGGTGTTTGTAACTTTTTATTTGGTAAGCCCTGCTGTGAGTTCACCAGGTATAGTAATGACATCATAATGACATCATAACAACATCATATCACACGCCGGTAGAGGTTTCGCTAAAATTGTCTCAAAAACGGCATGCACTGTAACCCAGTCATCAAACACGTTGATGACTCCCTGGTTCCACTGCAGGCACAGCCAACATGTCCCGTGTTTGCAGGCATAGCAAACATGTCCCGTGTGTGCAGGTAAACGGCATAGCGAGCAGTGAGAGTTTGACGTACTGTAACAGTAAAACCGGAACGTTTAGTGACCAAAAAGTCTAACGTTGTTGTAATTTTGGCATGGTAACGCGCAGAAAGTTTAACGATGGCTACCTGGCCACCCAGAACATGCATCGATGTATGCACATCTTTACACAGACATCTCGAACCGGGTTCCCGATAACGTTTCTTCAAATGACGAAAACAAATTGGTCGTTAAAACATTTAGACTTTGCGACTCGTTAGAGACTTTCCGGTTTTACAGTATGCTGTGCAAGCTCTGGACTACTTACAGTGATTCTTCTGACTATTGTGTGTGGTTTGTTTTGTTTTTAAAAGTTTGCGGGCCAGTTTGGGTGACTGCTCACCTTGTACTGTGGACTGTCCAGGCTTGTCTTGTCCTTCAGCCAGTCATCGAAGAAGTCATAGATATGCTTTGTGCGCAACAGAAGACGAACACAGCAACCGCTATTCATATTTTAATACTAGGGCCATTTGGCAATTACTCGTTAACAATGTGTGGTCTAACACTTACAATAGCATACTCATGGAAAAAAAGCAGTGCAAGACGATAAGCCAATTGTTACAACACCAGCCAAGCCAGGAGAGAACTGTTGCGATCCTTTCACCCCAATGATCTAGGCAAAGGTCTGTCTAAACCTAGGGCATCTGCTGAAGAGCTTTACCTATTGCTTGCTGTGGCGGGTTTGGGGGGGGGGGTGCCCCCTCCCCTCAAAAGTTTCGACCTAGGTTTCGAAAAATAAAAGGCAGGGGGCGCGCGCGGCCTGAAACAATCGTCCAAAAGCGGTTGCACGGTACGGTGCTCGAGCTGACACTACAGAGTAGGAGTGAGCATGCACGGCTACAGAAACACAGTGGTTTTCAAAATGGCTGACCTGGGACAGTAGCATGATGTCATCTACGCCCACCCCATCCCGGCCGCACCCCCCCCCCTCTCAGCCAAATCCTGAACACGCCACTGGCTTGCTGTGAAATGGGGTTGAGTGAAACACAACAGAAGCTTGTGCGGCCTCGCTATTACAGTCGACAGCCGCACACTGAACACGGATATCGGTATTCTGTGTACATCATGTGTACGTGGTGTTGGTGCATGCGCGCGCGCGCGCGAAAAGCAGTCTTCGTCTTCAGCTTGTCTTGTCCAGTTTGTGTTTCCGTCGTCTTGTCATAATCAGCAGTGGTCTAAATGTAGTTATCACGTCCATTGTCAGGGGCGTGCTCGGCCCCCCAACTAGGGGGGTGCACGGGAGCCGAGGGGAGCCCCCCACCCCCCCCCCGGCAATTTTCTGCAATTTGTTTGCAACCTTTCTTGAATTTTAGAGCATATTTGCACGCATTACAATTGCAATTACCCAGATTGAAAATTTTTGGGGGGTGCACGTGCCCCCCGTGCCCATCGCCGAGCACGCGCCTGATTGTGTACAAGTCGAGATGGCACGGGGCTGGGAGCCGGAATGAGAAAGTCCAGTTACAACGTAACTTACGTTTTCTCTGCCGAAGGCCATCAAGCATGTCGACGGTACAATACTCTCACTCTGCAGCACAAAAAGCGAGTAATTACCTCATCATTACCTCATCAATATCTCAAACACCCGCATGCTCGTGGACATACATGTCGTCAACTTGAAGTGACGTGCTCATGCGTGCAAAAGTCACCTGGTCACCGTGTCTGCAGGCTACAACTTTCACACCAAGGTTCAACTCGAGTTCAACTCGAGTGACAGGAACACGCCCAAACAGGCTGTAAGTTGTACCCTGCAGGCACGGTGACCAGGTGACTTGTGCATGCATGAGCACGTGACCGCTTATTCAACTATGTTCGATTGGGAATACGGGCCGAACGCTGCATCGCAGCGCTCTCGGACCAAAACCAGTCGACTCAGCGTCCGAAAGACAACACCATAATAGGCCAATCGCGGTCGTCCGTGCTTTTAAAAGAATGAAATGGCACTTTTAGTGACATTTGCATACAAATCCCCATCTAGCAGGGCGCAGTCACCCAGTTTCAGTGGAAGTGTGCGAGCTCGATTGGGAATAGAGGAGGAGCGGAGCTTCTCAGTTTCCTCGGACCGAGACCATTCGACTCAGCACCCCGAAGACTACAACTGGTGAAAATTTGAGATTTTAGGCTCAACTTCCCCTTTAAGTAGTCTTGATAATTATGATACCCTATGAACAGAAACTTGCATGCGGAATTTAATTTCGTCTTTTTCGCCCAAGGAGTTTTCGGATGAAATTAAATGCCGGACCAACGTCGATTGTGTCCAGCTTTTCAATACATTTTACGGTCCATGGACGAAATTTTCGACAGGAAAAACCCCTTTCTTTGGAGTTGGACGAATTTTTTGCCAACTAAATTTTCTGCTTGGAAGCGGAAGGATTTTCTCCAGCCATGCTGAGACCCACAGTTAATTGGGAACTCGTGGCCTAGCACGAGGGAAGCATGGATGCAGTGAATGGGATTTTAGGTCTTTGACCACTTTGGTGGCTCTGTTCTGCTCACCTCCTACCAGGCTTCCAGCAAATAGGCGCCATCAAATCTCTCCGTCAGAGCAGGACCGTCGCCGATCCTTTGTCTGATGCCATTCCAATACCACTCTTTGCGGTGGCGGTAGAACCCCTCAGAGTCTTCACCAAGGTCTGAAAATGTTACCACTGCAGGACCATCATACCTGTGGAGTCTTCCGTGGTGATACCACCGTAGAATACCGCGTGTGTCGTCATAAAAATCGGCTGCAGGACCATCGGCTCTATGACGGACGCCGTTGAGGTAGTACTCGATGCTACCCCGTCCTACCGAAGCAGGTTCATTGACGCGATGAAGGCGACCTCCATAGCACCAGGCGGACACTCCTCTACTATCAACAAGAGCTGGCCCGTCCTCCCGATGGAGTCTACCGTCGACGTGCCAAATTTCTTGCTGCGCGTTTTCATCTGCCAGCTCCACAACAGTTCTTACTGGCGTCCGACTTTCTACCAGTAAAGGACCCGTAGTGAGAGACCACGACCGGTTGTCCAAGTCTACACCAAACGTATCGGCCATATCTATTTACTCAAGGAGAATAATGTAACAACTCCTCCACAAACGCTTCGACACCTGACGTCTTCTTCATCCTGGTTTTTCCTCTTGGTGGTTTTGGATAAGAGTTGAAAAGTCCGAAAGGTCAACTGATGACCTTTGCGTTACTTGGTATGATTGGATTTTAGCGGTTGATGTCGGTATGCAGCTGGGGAGCGAATTCAACAGGAAGAAGAAAAGGTCTTGCTTTGCGGTTCACACCTTCACTTCAGTATCATTACAGTCTGTGGAAATGGCTTTCACATGCCACTGCGGCATTCAGCTTACAGGGGTTATACCCCTGTTCCAGCACCTGAGGCGGTGCATCAAGCGCCGCCTCTTCCTTATTGTGTATTGCGATACCTGGTAAGTGTGCAGTGCTCACAGCTCTCTCCCCCAGCAATAGAGCTCTATGACACTGTGCTTTCTGCGGTTTCTTTCGTGTTTACAGTGGAGAAAGGCTGGTGTGAGTTCGAGCCTTTACCACCCATTTAACGGATGTGGTACATCTGGCTCAATATTGGAAGGGCCGGCAGGTCGGCCTGCTTCTGCAGTCCGACTACCAGGACGCCGTGGAGCGGATCAGTATCCTGTAAATAAGCACGGCTCTGTATATACTTGCCATCCTCGTTATAGTGATACAAGTAAGTGTTGTCCCTGCCCTTTTGGCATGTGTGTGCCCCTTTTGGCACGTTGGTGCGGACCGCGCGCGGTCTGCGCCGGTTTCATGATTATCATACATGTTCTTGTTGTGCGCATGCTTGCATGTTTTTGGGGGCCTTCTTCCTGAGACTCTCCTTGGAGTAAGACGAAAATAATCTGTCCTCTGAGTGTGGCGTGCGTGTGATGAATAAGAGAGTAGTCGGAAGGGCTATCGTGCGAGGGAATAAAACCCCCCGACGACAATTGGCGCCCAACGTGGGGCTCGAACCCACGACCCTGAGATTAAGAGTCTCATGCTCTACCGACTGTCCCTCCATTGTTGCACAGTTTCGCGGGGCTCCCGGCTGGTGTCAACCCTCCTGGCCTACTCGTCACTTGCCCAACGGTCTCGTCTGTGTTTTTTGTTTATATATTCGCCTATCTATGTTGTACATATTTCATTTCTTTCTTCTTCCTGTCTTCTTCTCCTGTCTGTCTTCTCGTTTTGTTTTTCTTCTCTCCCATCCTCAGGAGAGGATGCATTTTTTTTCATGTGGAAGTATGTTGTCCCTGCCCTTTTGGCATGTGTGTGCCCCTTTTGGCACGTTGGTGCGGACCGCGCGCGGTCTGCGCCGGTTTCATGATTATCATACATGTTCTTGTTGTGCGCATGCTTGCATGTTTTTGGGGGCCTTCTTCCTGAGACTCTCCTTGGAGTAAGACGAAAATAATCTGTCCTCTGAGTGTGGCGTGCGTGTGATGAATAAGAGAGTAGTCGGAAGGGCTATCGTGCGAGGGAATAAAACCCCCCGACGACATAAGTATCACTCTGCAGTGCTCACAGCTCTCTCCCCCAACAATAGAGCTCTATGACACTGTGCTTTCTGCGGTTTCTTTCGTGTTTACAGTGGAGAAAGGCTGGTGGGAGTTCGAGCTCTTACCACCCATTTAATGGATGTGGTACATCTGGCTCAATATTGGAAGGGCCGGCAGGTCGGCCTGCTTCTGCAGTCCGACTACCAGGACGCCGTGGAGCGGATCAGTATCCTGTAAGTAAGCACTGCTCTGTATATACTTGCCATCCTCGTTATAGTGATACTTACTTGTTTCTGTCCTCTTGTCTTACCCTGCTTTCGTATTCGTGACACTAATAGTGTTTGTGTGCACTCATGCTTGGTTTTACAGATGATGTGTGAAGATCTGGGTCTGACGTCGGCAGGATGCGTCATTTATTTCAAATTATTTGTAAGTACTTGTAACAGGCGTAGTGTAGTAACAGCGTGTAGTGTTTTGTGATGGCCCTGTGCTATAAGCAGTCGTAATGTGTTGGGCTACTGAAGTACACCGCATTCTTGTGCTTCCTAAACCCTAGATACGTGTATAGCACTATAACATAGATGTGTGTGCCCGCGCATGCGTGCGTGTACGTGCATTGTGTTCTCTTCCACAGATTCACCCAAGTCCATTTAAAATAAAAGTGTATTATAGTAAACAGTATTGTGTTTTGTTACAGTGAATATGTGGGGAATGGTGGACATGCCTTAGTGTGACTGGATACCTGCGGGTTATGAGCTATGCTGGATTCTCGAGTATAGATTCAGTTCAGTGCAGAGGGGATTTGTGGTGCGTAGCAACATCACTTCACTGTGACACCCCTTCAATAATGACTTGATGCATGATACACCTCGCTTTAGGAGCTGCATCTGCGCCTTGGTCCTTGCAGGGTGGTGGCGTTCCTACGGATGCGGAAAACTCGGCCTCTATCCGAGTCTGACGCGAACTGTGAATTAAAAAAATATTCTGCTTGTACAGTAGTACCCCTCCCCCTATGCAGTAGTACCCCCCCCCCCCTCCCATGCAGGACCCACGTGTATACTCACGTCGCAATTGTTGACCAGTTTCTTGGTAGCCAGGACCAGCGATCGCCACACATTGCTCACAAGTCTGCAGTGTGATCAGTCAAAAACGTACTGTGCCTAATCAGAAACAGGGCCGTGGCACCTGGTCCGTCTGGTCCGGCCATGGCCGGACCTTATTTCGAACAAAAGTTTACCCACCCGATTCATGCAAATGGTTTTTTGTTGTCAATAATGTTCATTTCGGTCAAGTTTCCCATTTGGCCGAACCGCCTGAAATCCCGGTGTTACAACCCTGAGGAGGAAGCATAATATACGTAGCATCTAAAAAGTAGCCAGAGAGGCACACCGCTGCCTGCAATCACACTTTTTCATCTCTACTGCACCGTGTGTTTGGTTGTCTGTCTCTCCATGTGCGTGTGCGTGTGTATGTGTGTGCATGCCTGTGCATGTGATTTTCTGTCTATCCGTGTGTGTGTATGTGTGTGCACACATATGCATGTGTTCGTGCATGCGTGAGTGTGCATGTGCATGCACGTGTGTGTATCATTGTTGGTTGACAGCAGGTAACAAGGCGGTGGGACACCATGTTCGCACACAGTGCCCCTTACTGCAACCATCCACGGTTGGTAGAGCCCCGGTCTTGCGACCATCCGAACATTATGGGTGTTAGCCCTGTGCGTGCATGAATGTGTGCATGTGTGAGACACAGCACAGCACGTTCTTTCCCACTGGGTTCCTCACTTTGGCATATAGGTTTCGTGCAGGACCCGCTGCATGTTAGAGAAAAGTAGTGAAAGCTCAGACACCATGGTCCGTAGCACCTGCAGTCAGTAAAACACACACACGTACAGATTGGCATAGCAAAGAACTGAGGTCTCGACGTGGTGCAGATTAAAATCTACGACATACTATTCTAGCCCTACACCCAGGCAGGCACACACACCCAGGCAGGCACACACACACACACACACACACACACACACACACACACACACACACACACACACACACACACACACACACATGAACACACACACACATGGACACACACACACATGGACACACACACATGGACACACACTGCCGCACACGCACAGGAGAGGGGAGGAAGAGTGAAAGTCCGCGCTCCAACACACATTTGAGCACACTTGGTAGTCAGCACATACCACTTCTGCCTGTCCTTCTCCCACCATAACCTTCTTGAGATACGGCAGTGCATCTTCAGTTACGACCTATTGAACACACAGGTACATGCAAACACATGCACGCACCACAGACAGACAGACAGACATACAGACACACAGACACACACACACACAGCATGCACACTCCCCCCCCCACACCCGCACACACACAAACACGCCCCCACACCCGCACACACACACACACCATTGACGCCCATCGCCAGAGGCGATGATAGCGATGCCACAGCAGAAGCCATAGCAGCTTGTGCTGGGATTGCACCATTCAACAGCTTGCAAAGCTGAAGAATTGACCACCACTACACCACACAGCCATGAAGTGGCTTTTTCTGGTCAGCGAATCCCTACTTTTTGGTCTTTTCATTTTTTTCCCGCACACACATCACACCACATACTCCGGCATGCACTGGCTGTTGGTAACCACCCAGGAGAATGAAAGAAAAGTCAGGAGGAGTCTGAGAAAGAGAAGAAAGACGTGTGTGACCATAATTGTCGGGAATCGAACTTGCAACCTCTCGATTGGAAGTCGCTGCACATACCACTGCACCATATGGGACACCCACACCCACACACTAAATCACAGATGAAGCAGCTCGCCATGAAAGCAACGAATAATCGAGCCCAAACGGCCGTTGAGTTCAGTATTCAACTGTGCAAACTCACCGACACGGCCAGCTGATTCAGACCGCTGGATGCCAAAATGAAGAGGCTGCGGCTTGTGGAATCAATCATGCGACTGAAGACTGCCTGTACATCAGGGAACTGGTGTCCATCACTCTCTGCATGTGCACAGGCAGGCAAGACAAACCATGAGGAGATATCAATATGAAAAGAAAAAGGACCAAGGAACTACAAGTTACGCCATATTAAAATGTCCACTAACAATGCAGGCAGGCATAGTGGGATGGTCTAAGACCATGATTGAGAAACAGAGGGTACCAGGTTCAAGTCCTGCTTGGAAGCGGAAGGATTTTTTCCAACCGTGCTGCGACCCACAGTTAATTCGGAGCTCGTGGCCTGGCACGAGGAGAACATGGCTGCAGTGAATGGGATTTTCGGTCTTTGACCACTTGCTGGTGAGCTGATCTATTCACCTCCCACCGATTTAAGAGCTGCATCTGCGCCTTGATCCTTGAAGGGTGGTGGCGTTCCTACGGATGCGGAAAACTCGGTTTCCAGCCGAGTCTCACGCGAACTGTGAAAAAATTTAACACCACCAGTTACTAAATAATCAGCTCATGCGATAACATTTGCACGACACTGACCGACGGTACGGACGTTCTACAACTAACTGGTCAGTGTCGTGCAAATGTTAGCGCATGAGCTGAGTAACTGGTGGTGTTAGTGGACAATATAGCGTAACTTGTAGTTCCTTGGTCCTTTTTCTTTTCTATAAATTAATCATTGGCTCTCCATCCGAGATATCAATATTGCCAACATTTGAGTATGAAAGGTGACTAGTGTGTGGCGGTGGTGGTTTACATACGACCCTTCAAGATATGGTTCGTTATAAACAAAAATGGTTCGCTACAAATGGTCAATTTTGTACGGGTTCAAACAGGGACACGGACAATAGTTCTCCATAGTAATAACGTACTATGCGAGTTTGTTATAAGCGGAGTCGACTGTATGTATTTGTTGCGGATTTCTGTTCGACTATGATTTACGCATGTTGTTGTATTTGGTTCTTGTCTGGTGGAGTCCAGTGTATGATGTCATATAATGGTCTAAGTGTACGCGCGAGTATGGTGTGATGTGTGACGTTTATGGTATGTGGTGCATGCAAGAGTACACGTTGTCAGAGTGTGAGGATGTGCTTCCGTCTGTGTGAGAGTGACTGTCAAGTGAATGCTGTGCATGCGCAGTGCTAGTTTGGTCTAGGAATGAGAGTCATGTGTGATTCGTCCGTGGTCTGGTTGTCTTGGTCTTGGTCATGTGTTCTGTACGTATTAGTCCCTGATTGGTCGTCCCGATTTGTCGTCGCAATATTACTGCTTGTTCTTGTTGTTTTTTTTGAGTCTTTTCCCGGGTGTCTTTTCCCGTCGTCGTTTTCTGTCTAGTGTTTTCGTCTTTCTCCTCCTGTGCCCTCGCCGTTTACTATTGAGAAGTGAATACTAGTATTGAAGCTAACTGAATGGTGCGTTGTTGAGTGACCGGGGCCAGGGGGAGAAGACAATACCATTCCTACTTCATATTATTAGTCGCTTTCCCAACGCAATGGTCTTGACGGGAATAGAATGAAGGTGCAAACACCTTAAAAAAGTAACTGAACACAAGCAACAAAGAACGAGAACATGCATACACACACAGACACAGGCGCATGCACACACATGCACACACACACCCACATCGACACACGTGCACACACACACACACACACACACACACACACACACACACACACAAACACACATTGCGCACAGTTGCGCCCCCTCACCGAGTCGAGCACGGAAAGCCGCGTCGGAGAGCTTGTCCAGCTCCAAGAGCGATTGCAGTCGCTTAATGATGCTATGGACCATGTAGTAAGTATTGTTGAGCAGTGCAGCAATCTGAAGAAGAACACAGTTCGGAGGGGAGAGGGGCTACCAGACGTTTTTGGATGAATGGTGGCGATGGTGGTTCGAGCACTGCCATAGAATTGATGTCCGTGTGTGTATTTGTAACCTCTACGAGGTCCCCTTTTTAGCTGTGCTTGCCACCTTTATGAGGTCTCCTTTTGCCACTGCGTCTGTGCGGACCGCACACGAACTGTGCAGGTTGTACCACTGCACGCATGCACCTTTTTATTATTCTGTACATTCTTGTCTTTAATCGACGTGGAGATGTAATAGGTGTATGTATGCTACGACCTGAATACTCACTATTTGTATTTCCCGCTCGTTCCCCTTGGCAATGAGCCACTCACATAGAAGAGCGCATGCTCCAGGTTCTGTTCTGTTGTAGTCTAGTCTTGAGTTGTCGTTGTCCTGTTCTCCTTGTCTACACTCTTCTCGAATACTTCTATAAATTATCCAATCATATAAAACCCCTGTGTTCCGGTGTGAGGGGGCATCATTAGCCGGGAGCAGCTAACACTGGTGGCAGCGGAAAACGTCCACCACTACATCGCTGGCGGAGTATGTACGCCTTCGGAGATCGCCGACTATGAAGAACCACGAAGGCCCACGCAAGTGAAACCATATCCTCATCCACTCTCTTCGTCAATATTTTCCTATCTGCATTGTGTTTCTTTCTGCTCGTCGTTTTCTTGTTGCATGCATTGTTTACCATGGTTTACAGTCCATAGGTCAAGCATTGGCGCCAACCTGTCTGGCCAAACATTTTCGTAACATTTTCTGTGTCCGTGTTTTGTGCATACTGGCTGCTGTCTAGTGTCTTGTTAGGATATCTGCTAGCTGGGTAGTAGAGTCTAGCTACACTGTGTCCGTAGAGTAGTTGCCTATTTGGAATTGTCTCTGCCAAATTTAGTTGTTTGCCGCTACGCACGATAGGTTACGTAATAGATTTAGAATTAGATCGATAGTTGATCGAGGCGTCGATCGAGTCCACGGGAAATATTGCAGATAATTTTTTTCGAAAATTCAAAAATACAAAAACAATTTTTTTTTTTCACAATGGGCCGTTCAGCGAAATCCAAGAGACAAGAAAAGCTAGAGCGTAGCTTCGCTGAAGCTGGCTGTGACATGAGCATTGCTGAAGAGCGCGAGAGTTCGCCGGTACAAGGGTTGTCCCATCGTTTTCGTTTGCCGGACACAGACACACCACATGCACGTCCACTGCCGAAGCCAGTCTTGCTTCCTGAGACATTCGGAAATCAGCCAGGCCAAGATTTCACCACGTACATGAGGCATTTCGTCCACACATGCGAGCTGAGTGGGTACGACGACGACCAAAAGCTACGGCTACTACCTGCTCGCCTTGTTGGTACAGCTCATGAGATGTTCACCGAAATTCTAACTCACACGCGTGACATAAACTTTTCCGACGCAGTCGAGGCTCTGCATGTCCGTCTTGAGCCGCCCCAGCAAGCATTGATGCACGAGGCCAGTCTTCGCCAGCGAGTGAAGCTGGCGAGTGAAACTCAGCACGGGTATGCCACGGAACTTCGTCGGCTCGCTCGTCGAGCCTACCCAGGACAACAAGGTGCACTGCTTGATTCAATGCTTTTGCAACTTTTTATTGATGGCCAGGCATCGAAGGATTTGCGCTTGGCGTTGGCGTCACCTCGGCCCACTGATTTGGATGCGGCGGTCCAAAAGGCCATCGAGGTAGGTGCTATTTATGCTCGCGAGCAGGCCCGCACCGTACCTCACCAGTACGCACAGCCCGTATTTGCTGCTGCTCCGGAAGTGAAGCCCCGTCATGGTCGTGACCCCTACACAGCAGTCGGTCCACTGAAGTCGGAATCTGAGCGAGACCAGTTGGCTTCGCTTTTGTCGAGTTTTGATTCGCGTCTCTCTGCTTTGGAGGCGAAAATGGAGAGCGTGAGTCTGTATCGCCCCACCCGACCCCAGCAAGACCATGTCCGTTTTGTTGCTCGTGGTGCTGGTGCTGGTGCGCCTAGTCGTGGTCGTGGCCAGAGTTTTGCGAGGCCTGTCCGTGGAGTGTGCCATGGATGTGGTGAAGAGGGCCACTTCATTGCATCTTGCCCGCACGCAAAAAACTAGGTTGGACTGGTGACACGGGGCCGCCGTCAGTCGTCCGAGTGGAGCCCCTCGAGGAGGTATGTGGTGCGATCTCACCCATTATTGTGCACGTTGATGTTTGTCTTTCGTCTTCGTATTCGTCTCCTGTTGTTGCTCTTGTTGATTCGGGTTCAAGTGTGTCGTTAGTGCATTCTAAATTGTTGCCTAATTTGACAGAGCGACCTCCTCTAGAGTCTGCTCCGCGGTTGTGTGCAGTCAATGGCGCACAACTTCCTGTCGTTGGATCCATGGATCTGTGTATGTCGCTAGGAAATCTGTCTTTCCAGCACACGGTTGTTGTCTCTCCTGGTATTCACTGCGACATGATTCTTGGTTCCGATTTTTTGTTGCAGCATGGTGGTGTATTAGATATTGCTCGTGGTGTTGTGATGTTTGGCGATGTGTCTGTTCCGTTGCATGTTTCTGGTTCTGGGTGTCCTCCGTCACGTACGCCCTATGATCGTATTGTTCCGCGTAATACTTCCTCCTCATGTAATACTCATACTCCTCATTCTGATTCTGATGCATGCTCCGACGATGTACCTATTTCGTCGTATTCTTCTCGTGTTGCCCTTGACGATTCATTGTCTGCACGGGTTGTTGAACCCATGGCTCAACCTGGCGTTGTCCCGGCGTGTGCGCCCGAAAGTGTGGCCGACCCTGTGGTATACTCATCTCGTGTGGTGTTTGAGATGGAGTTGTCGGTACCTGCAGGACATGTTGTCTTGGTGCCTTGTGCAGCTGTTGATGTGTGCACGGTTGCGATGGATTGCGTGGCAGATCCATTGGAGTCCTTTATGGCGAAGCATCCAGATGTGGCAGTGACTCCTAGTCTTGTAACTGTTGGCCCTAACCAAACACGTGTGGTTGTGGCTGTTGAAAATCATGCAAATCATCCTATAATCATTCATAAAAATACCAATGTTGCCGAACTTCATCCAATTCCTACAGATTGTGAACATATTGACGACACTGAAGCTATGGTTTCCTCAGTTTCACCCGACCCGATCCCGCTAACTGAGCAACGCAAGAAAGTCATCGATGAATATATCAACGCACAAAATCATCTCTCCACAGAACAGTCTCGCACGCTCACTGAACTACTTCATGATAACCACGATTTATTTATCTTGCATGATGATGACTATGGCTACTGTGACATATTCCCTCATAAAATTAACACAGGACAAAATAACCCTATAAAACAACCTACCAGGCGGATTCCATATCACCGCCGGAAGGCTCTGCAAGATCTACTGAATACGCTGTTAAAGCAAGGCATAATACAAGAATCGATTAGTCCGTGGGCATCACCCATAGTATTGGTGCCAAAGAAGGATGGCTCTCTTCGACTCTGTATCGACTACAGGAAGTTGAACTCTGTCACCGAGCCTGATGCTTACCCGATTCCCCGGGCGGATGACATGCTTGATTCCCTGTCTGGCTGTCGGTATTTCACGTCCCTTGACTTAGCGTCAGGGTACTGGCAAATAGCAATGGAAGGAAGCGACAAGGCTAAGACGGCATTTACCACGCCACTGGGCTTGTTTGAGTTTAATGTTCTGCCGATGGGCTGCAGGAATGGCCCAGCGACATTTCAGCGCGTAATGGAAGCAGTCCTGAGTGGCTTATGTAACACACCGGCCCAGCCATTCTGCCGTGTGTTCTTTGATGATGTCCTGAATGCCAGCGAAACACTGTCTGGCCAACTCCAGATTCTGCTGCCCGTGTTCGCGCGAGTTCGGTCCGCTGGACTGCGGTTCAATCTGAAGAAATGCTCCTTCTTCCAGGAGGAGGTCACTTTCCTAGGACACCGCGTGTCAGCGGAGGGCATCTCCCCGAATGAGGCCAAACTCGTCGCGGTCAGGAACTGGAAGACTCCGAAATCTGTCACAGCTGTCCGCGAGTTCCTTGGCTTCGCTGGATATTATCGCCGCTTCATCCGTGGGTTCGCCCAGCGTGCTGCTCCGCTGACTGCTCTGACAGGCAAGAATGCTCGCTTTGCGTGGTCGAAAGCTTGCGAAGCGGCGTTCCAGGCTCTGAAGCGTTCGCTTGCCAGTGTGCCGGTGATGGCGTACCCCCAGTTTGAAGCTTCAGCAGGTGCATTCATTCTGGACACCGATGCGAGCAATGTGTCGATTGGTGCAGTCCTCAGCCAGATCCAGGATGGAACTGAGCGACCAATTGGGTACGGCAGCCGTGTACTGACGAAAGCTGAGCGCAACTACGATGCTAGCGATCGTGAGGCCCTTGCTCTGGTCTATTTTGCGGAGTATTTCAGGCACTACTTGTTGGCACGACCATTTGTTGCCAGGACGGACAATACTGCGTTGACTGCACTCCGGAACCTGAAGGAACCCCGCGGACGGAAAGCACGTTGGCTTGACTGTTTATCCGAATATGAATTCCGAGTCGTCTACCGTCCAGGTCGCCAACATCTGAATGCTGATGGTCTGTCGCGCTTGATAGCCGAACCTGAAGCACATGTGCACAGTGAGTCTCCGCCACTGGCACCAACGCCGCCGCAAGATGCTGCCCCGTCTCCTCCGCCGAGTCCGCCGCCTCTTGCCCGTGATGTTCCGTTGTCAGCTGCTGATGAAGTGCCACTTGCTGTTGATGTTCCTCCGGCTGCTGAGATTATTCCTCCGGCCGTTTTTGTTCGTCCTCCTGGTTCCTCTGCTGCTGGACCGTTGCCGGATTGTTACAAGCCTCAGAGTCTTCTTGCTCCGTATGCTGATCCTGCTCTGTCTGAGTGTTTCACCCGATATGATGCTGCCAGTGGCAAGTTTGTTCGTCCGCCTGAAGCCGTTTCCCGTCCTCCCGACTGTCAACCGCCTGCCGTTACTGCTTCTCGTCCTGACCCG